ATCGACGACGACGTCGTCGCCCGCGAAGGCTTTATCCATTTGGGAGATGTCGCGGATGGCGAGGGGCAGGTGGGAGTCCGGGGAGTCGGAGTCGGAGTCTTCGGAGGAGGAGGTGTCGGCTGCTGCTGCTGCTGCTGGTGATGATGATGATGTTGTCTTTTTGTTTGCTTTTGACTTTGATTTGGGCTTTGAGGAGGAGGAGGAGGAGGAGGAGGCTGTGATGGCGAGGGAGTTGTCTAGGTCCTCTACGCGCGCGCCGCTGGATTTGCCGCCCGTTTTGGTGGATTTCTTGCGCGGGCCAGAGGACCAGGCAGAGCCTGTTGTCGAGGGCTCGGCCGTGAGGGAGTAACCCGTGTTGACGCGCGCGTCGTCCTCGTCTTCATCCTCCATCTCGACATCGTCACCCCGGGCGGCGGCGGCAGCAGCCTTCTTCTGCTTCCTCGACAGCGCCGGGGCCGAGATGGCGGGCTGCGCGGCGCTACCGTACTTCTTGCGTCCCACCTCCGTGACCTCGTCGTCCTCCTCGTCATCGCTGCCGCCCGAGTCCAGGTCCCGACGGATCTGCGCAATGAGCTCGTCGTTTGCCTTCTTCTGCTGCGCCTCGGCCTTTTGCATAAACTTCATCTTCATCAGGTCGGACTTGGGGCCGTCGTCCTCTTCGTTGTCGATGCTCTCGAGCTGCTTCAGCAGTCTCCTGTTCTCCTTCCCGCTGCGGCGGCCGGTGCCCTCCTCGTCGTCTTCGAATCCGTCCTCGCTGTCGCTGTCCTCTTCCTCCTCCTCCTCCTCCTCATCAGAACCACCCGTCCGGCCCTCCTTGCGCCGTCTCAGCTCCTCCTCGCGGCGCGCCATATCGTGCAGACCGGCGCGATACTCGTCGTCCCAGACAGCGCGCTTGTTAGACGACCCCAGCTTGGCCCACTTGGAGTCTCTGTGTCTCGCGCCGACGCGCTCCAGCACCCTCGCGCGGTCCTGGGCATCCCGCTCGGCTTCGGAGTCGATCTCGACGTCGCCGTTCTCGGCCATGGCCTCCTTGAGCTTCGCCGCCTCGCGCTCCTTCTCCTTGCGGTGAACGCGGTGGTACGCCTTCGACTTGATCTTCTTGATGCGTGCCGCGCGCTTCGTCTCGCGCGAGGCGAGCTCCCTCTCGCGCCGACGCTGGTGAATCATGTCCTGCAGCTCCTCTTTCGACATCCCTTCCTCCCTCTCGGCTTTCGCGCGCGCGTTCTCCTCCTGCTTGTTCATCGCCAGGCCGGACGCCTGCATGATGTTGAGGATCGTCTGCTCGAGCTCGTTGCCCGTCGAGTTCTTGGCCGTGATGGCCTGCAGCTCGCGGTTGTCGAGCCCCTCGTCGGCGGCGTTCTGCGGCAGCGGGAAGACGAGGTGGTCGGCGCGGCGGTTTTGCTTCACCGTCTCCTGCCACCGGCCAATCGTCTCGCTCGTCTTCTCGTAGGCCGCCGCGCGCGCGAGGCGGTCCTGCTGGCGCTTGTACAGGGGCACCTCGAGCTTCTTGCCCGCGCCGGGGCGGGATGCTTCTTTTTCCTCCTTGGCCATAAGCTTGACGGATTTCCGCATCTGCGCGTCCTTGACGCCGGAGAGGCCGAGGTCCTTGAAGCTGATCTTTTGCTTCTGCTTTGTGGGCGCGGCATCTTTGTCTTCGTCGTCACCGCCAAAGCCGGCGATGAACTTTTGGAGATCGCCGAGCTTGGAGGGGTCCGCTTCCTGGTCGTCTTCGTCCTCGTCCGAGGAGGGCGGGCTCTCGGCCTCGGAGTCTGAGGCGTCCGAGTCGTCTTGGCCGTCTTGGTCGGCCATGGACTCGTCGGACTCGTACTCGTCGAGGGCTTGGGCCAGGTCTATCGCGTCCTCGCCGAGGGACTCGTCGTCATCTTCGGAGTCTTCCTCTTCGGAGTCGTCCTGCGTAATCTCAGTCAGCTGTGGAAGCTCTCTCGTGGGCATATTAAAATGCTTCGTTCGCCACCCACCTGGTTCTTCTTCTTGCCCTTGCTACCGCTGAATGCGTAGCCCTGGAAATCCTCGTGATCGCTATCGCCAAACGCCTCGTCGCTGTCCAGCTCCGAATCCTCGTCCTCGTTGACGCCGTAGTGCCACTCGTTTCCGTCGCTGTCGCTTTGATACTCGTCGGAGTCACCACCTGCACCGCCAGCAGAGGGCTTCGCCTTCTTCCGCCTGGGCTGGTCGTCATCCTCGTCTTCGTCGTCCTCTCCATCTTCGTCGTCATCGTCGTCGGCGGCGCGGCGCTTTTTCCTGGCTTCCGGTGCGGCTTCAATCTCGCGGAAGCGCGGGGTACGCTTCTCCTTGGGCGCGTATAGCTCAGAAGCGGTGGTGAAAGCGTCGAGGGCCTTCACTTGCGCCTTGTTCTTCGACTTGCGGAAGGTCTTTGCCGCCGGCTTGCTAGAGAGCAGCGGTCGGCCGTGGGCTTGCCGCCCGTGAGATTGCCTTCCGGGAGGCATCTTGTGTGAGTGAAATGTACGAAAAATAGAAATTGACGTGGGTTGCGAAAGAAGTGACGCAGAACAAAAAAGGTGAAAAGTCGTCGGCCTTGTCCCGCCTCAGCTCGGATTGCAGCACACACAGACACACACAGTTCATAGTTCCCCAGAGCAATGAGCATGGGCAACTTTTTCAAATTCTGCCATGGTGGGCGCAAGGCGGTGAACCAGAAATTTACAGCGGGGCACACATTTGGGGGCCCGGACCCCTGCTCGAACCTCGAAGTGTCGGATTCCAGTGGTCCCCAGTTTTCTGTTCCGCGCCGCTGCCTACCGACGTCCACTGACCGTCCAGGCCGACTCCAGAGTCCAGGGGACCTTTGCGCGATCGAACGAGTGGGCCCACTTTCCACACTGATCAAGCCGAAGGGACCCGGAACTGACCAGCCAGGGAAGTCCGACCACTCGGCTGCCCTGGATTTCCAAAATAATTTACTCTATGATTCATTTATACCTACAACGTCCGCTCCTCCACCTCCAAATACGCTCTGGGAACACCACCAACACCACCCACCACCACCACCACCAGTATGGCGTCGTTCGCACCAGGCCTGCGAAGGCTCGCCGTGAGGGCATCCCCCTCGCTCTTCGTGTGCCGCCAATGCCAGCGCCAGCAGCCGCAATGGCGCTCGTCCCCGTCTCGCGTCCTCGACACCATCGTACGATCCCAACAGCAGACCCGGAGTTTCAACCAGACCAAGGCGCCGCTCAACTTTAGCAGCAACGCCGTCATCGCAGACAAGCCCTCCTCCTCGATCGCAGCGCAGGCTGTGGCCAATGCCACGAAGGCCACCAAGAAGAGTGCGTGGCCTGAGACGAACTCCAAGTCTGTCGGATACTGGCTCGTCGGCAGCGCCGTGAGCGTCTTTGGCATCGTCGTCTGGGGTGGCCTCACACGACTGACTGAATCTGGGTAAGGAACCTCCCCTCCCTCCCTCGCTCCCCTTTTCTTCGACCACTACCCCTTAAGAATACAGCAGCTAATCCCCTTTCCAATGCAGCTTGAGCATCACCGAATGGCGTCCTGTAACCGGCTCCATGCCCCCGATGAACCAGGAAGACTGGGAATCCGAGTTCGAAAAGTACCGCGCCTCCCCCGAATTCAAGCTCCTCAACCCGCACATGGACCTGGCCGAGTTCAAAAAGATTTACTTTATGGAGTGGTCCCACCGCCTCTGGGGTCGCTTCATCGGAATGTCCTTTGTCCTGCCCACCCTCTACTTCATCGCCCGTCGCCGCGTCACCCCTAAGATGGCCGTCAACCTCTGCGGCATCTCCTGCCTCATCGCCTTCCAGGGCTTCATCGGCTGGTGGATGGTGAAATCCGGCCTCAAGGACGACCTTTTCGCACCCGGTTCCCACCCGCGCGTCTCCCAGTACCGCCTGACCGCCCACCTTGCCACGGCCTTCGTCTGCTACTCGTGGATGCTCCTCTCCGCCCTCACCGTCTTCCGCACCCGCCGCCTGCTCGCCGACCCCGTCGCCGCCAACAAGGCACTCGCTGCCCTCCGGAACCCGGCCATCAAGACCTTCCGCCGCCTCTCCTTCGCCCTCGTCGCCCTCGTCTTCACCACCGCCATGTCCGGCGCCCTCGTCGCCGGCCTCGACGCAGGCCTCATCTACAACGAGTTCCCCTACATGGGCCTCGGCCTGACCCCGCCCTCGGGCGAGCTCTGGGACAAGTTCTACTCCCGCAAGGAGGACGGCTCCGACCTCTGGTGGCGCAATATGCTCGAGAACCCCAGCACCGTCCAGCTCGACCACCGCATCCTCGCCATGACCACCCTCTGCTCCATCCTCTCCCTCTTCGCCTACTCCCGTACCGGCCGCGTCGCCGCTGCCCTCCCGGCGAACGTAAAGAAGGGCGTCCTTGGTACTGTCCACCTCGTCCTCATGCAGGCCGCCCTCGGCATCAGCACCCTCATTTACATCGTCCCCGTACCCTTGGCAGCGGCGCACCAGGCCGGCGCCTTGGCGCTGCTCTCTGGCGCCTTGGTCCTCGGACACCGTCTGCGCGTGCCAAAGTCCACCCTGGCCATGATCCAGAAGCGGATGAAAGCCAACGCGAAGGCTATCAACCACAGCAGGCGATCCTAGGCCCGAGTCCATTTCCAATGGCTTGAGACTTACTCCCTACAAAGTTACAGTTCACATTATTTGGTTTGACTGCATTATGGCAGCGATAGCATTTTTGGCATTATGGCACGTATGATACACACAAAAGCAAGTAGATATGTATAACACTGTAGCAACAACGGATGGACACGGCCAGCCCTTTGAGGTGGTCATTATGTATCTCAAGCCTATCCCATTCAAAACCTTTTGTTCATTTTTTTTTTAATAGAAGCTCAACTCTAGACTATGGAACGTCTGCCGGATATCACTGGGGGCGTACACTTTCTCTTTTTCTTTCTTTCTCCGCGTGCGTCACTTGTAGACAATCATACAGGGCGATTCGTCTTGACATCCGATTCCAGTCTTTTCGAAAACTCTCTATTTGTGGGCTATGATGATTTGTTAGTCCAATTCTCGTTGCAGCGGGAAATAATCAAGGCTTACCAATTCCCTCCTCGGGGACAGGCTTGACTCCGACAACCTCAGCCGCGGAGGCCTTCTTCTCACCCTGCTTCTCCTCCTTCATGAAGGGGAAGGCGAGCACCTCACGGATGCTGTAGTTGTCGGTCAAGAACATGACCATTCTGTCGATACCCATGCCCCAGCCACCGGTAGGCGGCAGACCGTACTCAAGAGACATGCAGAAGTTCTCGTCAATGAGCTGGGCCTCGTCGTCACCCTGGTCCTTCTGGCGGGCCTGCTCCTCGAAGCGCAATCTCTGGTCAAAGGGATCGTTCAACTCGGTGTAGGCGTTGACGATCTCCTTCTTGCACACAAAGGCCTCGAAGCGCTCGCACAGACCGGGAATGTCGCGGTGGTACTTGGCGAGAGGGCTCATGACTTGCGGGTGACCAAAGATGAAGGAGGGGTTGACGCACTGCTCCTCAATGTACTCGCCAACAAGCTTGTCGATCATGCGGGCGTTGGTCAGGGGCGGTGAGCACTCGAGGTTCATCTTCTTGAGGACCTTCTGGAGGAACTCGTTGGTCTCAGGAGTGTGCAGCTGATCGGCCGGGGGGAACTTCTCGCCCGTGGCCTTCTCGAGCTCAGGAATCATCTCGAAGCGCTTCCAGGGCTTCTCCCAGTTGACCTCGTAGACCTCACCGTGCTGGGTGTGGAACTTGGTCTTGTAGCCGCCAGTGACGTGCTTGACGAGGCCGCTCACGAGCTCTTCGGTCAGGTCCATAATGTCGTAGACGTCGGCAAAGGCTTGGTAGAACTCGCAGGTGGTGAACTCGGGGTTGTGCGTCAAGTCGATGCCCTCGTTTCTGAATTGACGGCCAAGCTCGTAGACACGGTGGAGGCCACCGACAACGAGCTCCTTGAGGTAGAGCTCAGGGGCAATTCTCATGAACATTTGCATGTCGAGGTCGTTGTGGTGGGTCTTGAAGGGGGCGGCGGTGGCACCTCCAGCGATGGGACCCATCATAGGCGTCTCGACCTCGATGAAGTCCCTGTCGTCGAAGAAACGTCTGATATAAGTGACCATCTTGGATCTTGCGATGAGAATCTGGCGGCTCTTGTCGTTCATGATGAGATCCAGGTAACGCTTGCGGTGGCGCTCCTCGTGGTCCTTGAAGCCGTAGTACTCGTCGGGGAGGGTGTGCAGGCAGGGAGTAAGGAGAATGAACTCGGTCGCGAAGATGGAGAGCTCGCCCTCCTCGCCCTTCTCGATCTTGGACTTGGGTGCAGTACGGCCGGGGTATCCAATGATACCAACAATGTCACCTATGCGCGGTCAGTATTTCATGCTCCCCATCCAGTCAGGAAACTCAATGCTTGCCTCGGCGAAGGTGGACGTGCTGGTCCTCGAATGACGGGCTTCCCTCTGCAACCTCTTGCGCCTGGGCCATAACCTGGACCTTGACGCCCTCAGCGCGGATATCGTAGAAGAAGAGCTTGTTGCCGGAGGCACGCTTGTTGTAGATACGAGCGCCCACACGGACGACCTTCTCCTTGTCATGTTCGCCGGACTTGAGGTGACCAAAGTCCTTGACAAAGTTGCGCAGGTCGTAGTCGGCTGCAATGGTATCAGTATAAAGGTCCAGGGATGATGGTGTCTGCAGATCTCACTGTGGAACTTGTGGGGGTAAGGGTTGGGAGACTTGGTCTCGCGCAGCCTGATATCATATTGTAAGCCCATACAACCACTTTCTCACGCCTCTTCACCTCCATGAGAAATACGCACTTGTTGATGGCGCGAGATCGGTTCTCAAAGTACTGGCTGGGGTCCAGGTTCTTCTCGTCGGCCTCGGCGTTACCCTTCTTGGCAGCAGCAGGCTTGGGAGGGGCAGCGGCGGCCTTCGCAGCCTTAGCAGCCTCTCTTTCGCGAGCCTTCTGGCGCTTCTTCAGCTCCGTCTTGGAGACCATCTCGCCGGTGACCTCATCCTTGAGAAGCTTGGCGGTCTCCTCGACCTTGAGGTCCTTGACCTGCTCGGTGGGGGGTTCGGGAGCACTTGAGTCGGCCATGATTGCGGTTTGCTGTGTCCACAAGATATTTGTCAGAAAACAGAATCTGGGGGAGGGTGTGCGGGAGAATACCCGTCGTTAAATCAGGGAACGGAGGTTGACTCACCAAATTTGTCTTGCGTCTCGCGATCGAAGTTTTACCAGTCAAAATTATTTAATGCCGGGACGAGGGGCAGCAGTGCATTGGCTACGGCGGGGTAGTGCCATTGACTCATTTGCCCTGACTCACCGCCTTGGATGGAGGGGCAGAGCGACCTGCGGGGGGAGGGGTGCTTTCCCTGCCCAGGCGGGCTGTGCCACGATCAACTCAGCACTGTATTTTCGCACTGCTACCCCTGAGCCCCTGAACCGCGTTCACGATGTCACAAAAGCGGTCCCATTTGAGATCCAGGTTATGGAAAGATGGTCGAGCGAACTTTGTGTGTTTCGAAAAATTCTGAGAATCGCAGGTAGATCTGTTTCTTGCAAAGAGTGCCTTATTTACACCGATACGCTGGCACTCGGCTTGACCTAGCCAGCTGGACACAATGCCTCTTGGTCAACGGTTTTACGGGAAATCACAGCGTAAACCGACGGTGCAACCAATCTGAACTGATAGACTTATCTATTTCTTCGGGTTTATCTTGTGTACAACGCAGTGACTGTTGTACGCCAGAGTCGGTCAAACGAGCAGGCCGGCTCAAGTTGCAGGGAAACGAGTCTAAGGGCAACATCTAAACCTGAGGTCGTTGATGATTTGTTACTAGAACGAGATGATATAAGCCTGATAGGGTAACTGATTTTCTGTAAGCCGACCTTGCTCGGGGTCTGGCGAAAGATGGGAGAGGTTTCCAGCATCTGAATATGAGTTGAGATCTGGACCTGCCGGGTCTTTTGCACGAACAAGCTATGTGTTTGAATCCTAATTATACATGACCTTTATACCATAAAATAGCCAAGCTATATTTTCTCGATGAGATAGACAGAAAACTAAGAACTCTACTCAAGGGACGCATGGCATTCAACGGCTGACTTTGTCAATCAACCTCTACGAATTGCCCTGATGAAAGAACCAAGCATTGCATGTCATTCTCTAGTAATTTCACTACAGATAAATAAATGCTACCTCGAATAACATGAAGTTATGCTAATCCATGGCATTACACGAGTTCGCAGTGAAAGAATGTTCTGCGCGGAACCCGGTTGGTTGGGAATACAATGTCACCTGCCTTACTCCTTCCATCACGATGCTCATGGAATCTGCCCGCGTTGTCCAACGCCTTCATACTACGTACTTAAGATCAGGAAAGTCCCAAAAACTCAGATCAGGTCTGCGGTTTCCTTCTTTTTGCTTTCTATTCACCTCGGGCATCTGCTTCCAATCTCAGTATGATCTTGCGTATGTTCACAACATCATCGAAGCCCAACCGACTGACCCCAGTCTCAGCATCTAGCAGAAGCATCGCAACAGTTTAAAATGTCGTCTGGATCATCCCCAGTCAAAAAGGCGACCATCCAAGACAGCGCGGACAGCAGTGGCCCATCCAAGTTCTCGGAGCGGGAATTCTGTGTACTCGCCACACGGGCCGTCAATCGACTTCCCGAGGCTGTGTAAGTTAATATTCTGAGTTAATGTTCAGAAGTGTTTCTAGCTTACACAGGCTAACATGAGATTATAGTAGTGCCCTTCTTCACAGCGTCAACGCTTTCTTTGGCCTCCTCAGCAGGCTGAAAATCGTCGCGCGCCCCTTGAGTGTCCATAAAACCCCAGAGATCTAGAGGGCCAATGAGGAGGAGCTCAGAGACGCCATCATGGAAGTCTACGATTTAGCCGACAACTTGCTTGATTTGACCTTGCAAACCGAGGAGTACATCAGCATCACAGCATACGAGTCGCTCTTGGGGCAGACAAATACTGTCCGCGCGGCCATGAGCGCCCTTCTACCTCAAGACCTGCACGACACTCTAGTCGGCAAGGGAAAAGGGGTGACTAAGTCTGAATAGACGCTTCGTGAGGAGAAAGTGAGGCACAATCGATCGATCCGGGATACAATCACTCCAGGAAAGACACACACGAGGATTGGATGGGAAAGGGGACTTCATCAGCCTCCGAGACGACGCAAAAACTGAGCAATTAATTTGTTATAGACAAATTCAATTCCTACGAATCGTATGCGTATTTCTGCATGAGCTCCTTCAAACGATCTAGAGGCAGTTCCTCAACCGTGTGTCCCAAGAAACCCTTAAGAGTCTCGGCCGAGGACAAGGCATTATAGATGCTCTCCTCCGTCGCATCCGCCGCCGCCTCCAAAAGCGCATTGATACTCGTATCGTCAACCGACTCAACCTTGAGCGCCTTGGCCTTGAACGGATCCACCTCTTGCGTCTCCGTCGTCAGCGTCTGCACGGGGATGCGATTACCCGTAGAGAATGCGAGGAAGATATCGCCCGAGGGGTTATGCCCGTAGCCGCCGACGCGCGCCAGCCCGACGGTGGCCCTCTTGGCGAGCCTCTGGCACTGAATGGGCGTCAGGGGCGCATCGGTGGCGATGGTGACGATGATGGAGCCGTCTTTCTTGTCCTTGTGCGCCATGACCTCGGCCAGCGTGTCCTTCTTCTCCTTTGCGAGGGTGCGGCCGACGGGGAAGCCGCCGATGCGGAGGTGGGCTGCCCTGCCGTAGTTGGCCTGCACGAGGGCGGCGACGGTGTAAGTCGTCTCCTTGCCCTCGCTGTCGATTCCGGGCACGACGCGGGACGAGGATCCGGTGCCGCCCTTGAACCAGTGGCAGATCATGCCCGTGCCACCGCCCGTGTTGCCCTCGGGCACAGGGTCGTCCGTCACGGACTCGATTCCCTTGGCTACCTGTGCGGATGTGACGGCCAACTTAGAGATGTCGTTGAGGAACCCGTCAAAGGTCTCGCCGACGACGGGCAGCAGAAACCAATCGATCTCCCCGTTCTCGTTGGAGTAGTGCTTTATGGCGTACTCGTAGATGCCGCGGTATGCGTCGCCCACCGAGAAGGAGTTGGTCAGCACGATGGGGCTGGCGAGAAGACCGGTCTCCTCGATCCAGTGGGATCCGGTCAGCTCTCCGGAGCCGTTGAAGCGGAAGATACCGGCGTAGCAGGCCTCTTTGAACCATTCACGGCGGGGGAGGATGACTGTCACGCCCGTGTTAACTCCCTCCTCTGTGCGGATGCTCTGCGTTGAGGCGAGGACGCCGGGAACATCGGTAATGGAGTTCTTGGATCCCGCCGGCCATCTTCCAAGGTCGAGGTTGGGGAGGACATCGCGAATGCGGCCGCGGGGAGTTGATTGTGTAGCCATCTTGATGATATCGGTTGAGTTGCTTCAGAGTGGAAGTTGAAAGCAGACAACTCTATTCTCAGGATTCCATTCGTAGAGCCGCGACCATAGTCTTTATACCTCTTCGCAATCGTAGAGGCATCATGGTCAGCAAGCGTAAGTGGCGTGTCGTAATATTGTAAACGTTTGAGTTCTTTTTTTTCTTTCCTCGCCGATGAAGGATCGAATGACATCGACCAATTGACTCGGGCTGCATCAGCATGAGAGGATATCACCGTGGACCCATTGGCCAATTGCGTCGTCGAACGAAGTCCGAGCCAGAACTTTTACGAATGCCTGGAGATCGCGCGTGGTTTCACTTCCTTCGGCCAGCTTCTTTGGGCAGGTGGATTTGGCACAAGTGGTGCCGCTACCTCACTGTGGACGTAACTCCGCTTACGTTGCGCTGTCAGCGCGGGCTAACCATCCGCGTGTACTTGCTTTTCTGACGTTTGATGCTGACGGTGTTTAAAATCCTCAATGACCTCTGGAAAGGCAGCCTAGAAACAGGCATCTCTCAAAGATGCTTGTATTTAATGGACTAGGAGTAAGGTGATGAATCAATGCGGACGGAAAAGGGAGGTAATCAGGTACATGTACCTCGGCAAACGGGCCCCACACACAGATCGCTCGGCCGGCAAGTGGGGTCCGAATGCGGGGAAGCTGCTCCAACCCCCGGAGTGACCATCATTACCAAGCTCCCTGTCCAGTCTGAGAGCCCTGTGCGGAGGAGGCGCGGGAGTTTGATCCCGACATCGCTTTCTTTCACACAGCATTGCAGTAGCTTCATCACACACCTTCTCTTCTGTCCTCTCACCTCTTGCGTACAGTGAAGCGTCCTATCAGCCGTCATCTTGTAGACCATCCGGTGCATAGCAACTATTCCATTGATCGTTCACATATCATCTCAAAACTAACCATGACGCCCTCACTTCGGGTCATCCCCAACGTAAGCACTTGCTCCCCCCTCAAGATAGATCCCTCACTCACAAGGCCTATAGGCGGCGTCTCGTGCCGTATCCCTCCTGCGGACAATTCAGGCACATCCGCCCTCATGCCCATGCCATACTAACCCCGGCCATCACCACCACCACAACCCTTTGAACTTCACGCCGAGACCCCTCCGAACGAGCAGCAAACGCGGCTATGCCACCCCCGTAGACAGCCCGCAGAAGGAGTACGCCTTTGAGATGGCCGCCTCCTCCATCCGCTTCGGCCCCGGCTCCACGCAAGAAGTTGGCATGGACTTTGCCAACATGGGCGCCAAGCGCGTAGCCGTCGTCACGGACCCCGTCGTCGACGGCCTCTTCGCCATGCAACAGGTCCGCGAGGCCCTCGACCGCGAGGGCATCAACTACAAGGTCTACAACCAGACCCGCGTAGAGCCCAAGGACAGCAGCATCCGCGAGGCCATTGAATGGGCCCGTCCCTTTGCGCCCGACGCCTTCCTCGCCGTCGGCGGCGGCTCCGTCATCGATACCGCCAAGCTGATGAACCTGTACTCGTGCTACCCCGACGCTCCCTTCCTCGACTTCGTCAACGCGCCCCTCGGCAACGGGCGCCCCGTGGACAAGGCCTTGAAGCCGCTGATCGCCGTGCCCACCACCGCAGGAACCGGCTCTGAGACTACGGGCACCGCCATCTTCGACCTGGTTTCCAAGCGTGCCAAGACGGGCGTCGCTCATCGCAACCTGAAGCCCACTCTCGGAATCTGTGACCCGCTCAACACCCGCACGATGCCCTCGGCCGTGAAAGCCGCCTCCGGGCTTGACGTACTTTGCCACTCCCTAGAATCGTGGACAGCGATCCCCTACTACGAGCGTACGCCCCGGCCCAAGAACCCCATTTTGAGACCCGCGTACCAGGGCGCCAACCCCATCAGCGACGTCTTCTCGTTCCACGCGCTGAGGGCCACGGTGAAGTACCTCCCCCGTGCCGTCAAGAACCCCGACGACTATGAGGCGCAGAGCGAGATGCTGCTCGCCGCGACGCTCGCCGGTGTCGGTTTCGGTAATGCTGGCGTCCATCTCTGCCACGGTATGTTCCTCGAGAGCACGACTTTTCTGAGCGAAGTTCCCCCCACTAATGTGAGATGACACAGGCATGTCATACCCCATCTCGGGCCAGAACCCGGGCTACCAGCACGCGGGATACAAGGTCTCCTACCCCATCATCCCGCACGGCGTTTCCGTGGCCGTCACAGCGCCCGCCGTCTTCCGCTTCACGGGCGCCTCCAACCCGGAGCGTCATCTCCAGGCGGCTGAGGCTTTCGGCGTCGACGTCTCGCGCGTGCGCAAGGAGGACGCCGGAAAGGTCTTGGCCGATGCGCTGACCAAGTTCTTGGCGGACCTGGGTGACCAGCCTGCCGGTATCAAGGAGTTAGGCTTCGGAACGGAACATCTGGACGACCTTGTCGAGGGAACGATTCCACAGGCTAGAGTGTTGATGCTGGCGCCTGGGTTGGAGACGGAATTGCAGAAGGAGAGGGAGCAGCTGAGGGGTTTGTTTGAGGCTTCTTTGGTGCACTCATAAAGTCTGGGACTGGTGAACCATATGTACTGGGCAGTGATTGGGGCTTGGATATAATCATGGAAGAAAAGAGATTGAGTAATCCAGGTAGTGAGCAATCACCTTTTGCATTATTCTCCTTTTTTGTCTCTGGGCCGATGTTCTTGGCATCAGTCCCTCATCTGTCTTACGTTGAGGTTGATCCTCTTATTTTGCATCCAGCCTTTCCACTCTTCGTACTTTCCATCTTCTGCTGGCCAGTCAGCCAAGTAATCAGGACAGGTACCCTTCATGACCTTGGGTACGCCGTGCCACGCGAAACGCGAGTCCTTGGTCATGTAGATAGCGTCGCCGGAGCGAATACGGAGGAGGAGGTACTCCTTCCCCGTCGCCCTCGCCTCTTCCGAAATCTTGTCCGGCTCGTTGGGCGCAATCATGAAGAGGCCGTCGCAGCCAAAGCTCAGGCTGACGAGACCCTTGTCCGTCTCCTCGCTGACGTCGCGGTGCATCATCATCGTGTCGCCCGGGGTGTAGAAGTTGACGATGGCGGCCTGGGCCAGGGTCTCAGGGAAGATGGTTTCGAGAAATTTGGCAATGTCTGACGGGAACTGGGGCGGGCGCTCCTCTGGGTAGATGCGGTTTGTCCAGTCGTACTGTCCGCCTAGCGTGACCCAGTGAAGACGGCGCTCCATGACCTGCTTGATCGATAGGGGCTTGTGGACGGAGGGGTCCTTGGGGGTGAATATTGGCGTTGGCTCGGGCGGGTATGAGAAGAAGGATTCGGCCGATCCGTCTTGGGCCTTTGGGTAGGGGAGGTCATAGTGCAGGTGAAGATTGGTTTGATGTGTTGGGACGCTGAGATCTCGGTTGATCATTAGTGAGAGCAGGGTCTTTTGCACTTCGGGAGGAACCAAGTCTGGTACTATGAGGAGGCCTTGAGCGACTTAGTCAGAAAACTTTTCTATGTTTGAAGTTACTTCGATTCGGGAAAGTACCTGGCAGAAGTGGGTGATATAAGATGGGAACTTCTTTGAGTGACAATGTATCGACAGCATGCGGGCCCAAATGTGAGAAAGCAGCGGCCAGCTGATCAACCGAAATCTTGCCAGCCTGTGAGAATTTCCCAGCCTGTTCTGGAGATCTTGGATCATCCAGAGAATCTCCATCTATGAGTTCTTTTTGGTCTGCTCTGGAGTATCCCTTCCACTGTGCCCGCATCACCTCCGAGGGCTGCTCATGAGCGTCTAGCTCAACAATTTCAGCCGTCATGGTGGAGGGAGTGAATGGGTATCAGATGCGTGTGAGGAACTTGTATCGGTTATGTAAAAGTGAATGAGTGTTATTGAATTTGGCCGTCCATCAACAAAATATTCAGATACGGCAATTTTTTCTCACGTTTCCTCTGTCTTCGCATCGTATGAGAATAATTGGTGACTCTGCGGTACAAAATCAGGAGTGAGCCCGTCCGTGACCCCACCACCAGCAGTGACCTTATCGCTATCCGATAAAGGATAAGCTCGTTATCGGAGGGGGGTTCTAAGGTACCTTACACAGTAGGTACGCGGGCAGCCCACCAATAACCAGGGGAGCCCAGGCCACCTACCACCCTCCGCAGACGCGACCCTTCCCTCCAGCGGCCTTGGTTGGGTGAGATCAGATCGCGCCTTGTTTTTCTTCATTGCTAGTAAACAACGACAACGGATTGCAATTTTAGCACCACAAAACATCGCCCAATCCGCCAAACGAAAAACGCCCATCCCGCCTGGGCCTTTTGCGACCGACATCGACGACAACACCCCATGGAGATTCTCTCCTTGTAACGGCCATTCGATCCTCGACTTTTCTGCGGTTTCCCCTCCTACCTTTTTTTCTTGTGGTGCATCTTTGTTGCCCCCCCTGACGACGACAACGTTCCTCCCTTTGGACTCCCGTCTTTCACTCTCTGCCCCCGGAGAGACCCTCAGCTGTGCCCCTCCACACTTCGAGGTGACCGACCACACAACGAACCTGAGCCCACCCGAACAACAAAGGCCGCTCCGATCGTGACGATTTCCTTCGACATTCTTTGGGCCACCCTGCGATCGGATTCAATCAATTCGCTTGTTTTTTTCTCTGCAAATTGATCTCCCGGATAAATACGTCGCACTGCAACCATGGAGAACTACCAGAAGCTCGAGAAGATCGGTGAAGGTAAGCAAGCCCCAGACAACGCCATCCTGAGCAGTCGACCCAGAATGACATGACGCAACACCGGTCGGCTGTCACCTGTCACAAATAAATACTGACTTAACCTCCCTTTTGCAGGTACCTATGGTGTCGTATACAAGGCCCGAGACCTTCTCAATGGCGGTCGTATTGTGGCGCTGAAGAAGATTCGCTTGGAGGCCGAGGACGAGGGCGTCCCCTCCACCGCCATCCGCGAGATCTCCCTCCTCAAGGAGATGCGCGACCCCACCATCGTGCGCCTCTTCAACATTGTCCACGCCGATGGCCACAAGCTCTACCTCGTCTTCGAGTTCCTCGATCTCGACCTCAAGAAGTATATGGAGTCTCTCCCCGTCAACGATGGCGGTCGCGGCAAGGCCCTTCCCGAGGGCAGCTCCGAGTACCTTGGCCGTCTCGGCCTGGGCCAGAACGTCATCCAGAAGTTCATGTGGCAGCTTTGCGACGGCGTTCGCTACTGCCACTCCCACCGCATCCTTCACCGCGATCTCAAGCCCCAGAACCTGTTGATCGATAGAGACGGCAACCTGAAGCTGGCGGATTTCGGTCTTGCGCGCGCCTTCGGTGTTCCTCTGCGCACTTACACCCACGAGGTCGTCACCCTGTGGTACCGTGCCCCGGAGATTCTTCTTGGTGGACGCCAGTACTCCACCGGCGTCGACATGTGGTCCGTTGGCTGCATCTTTGCCGAGATGTGCACCCGCAAGCCTCTCTTCCCTGGCGACTCCGAGATTGATGAGATCTTCAAGATCTTCCGGTATGTATTTCTGTCAAGCAGCCCCTGTTTCACCCTGTACACGTCGCTAAACTCATTCACAGCTCGCTCGGCACGCCGACCGAGGATGTCTGGCCCGGTGTCACCTCTTACCCTGACTTCAAGAGCTCCTTCCCTAAGTGGATCCGCGACGAGTCTCTGCCGCTTTGCACGAACCTTGATGCGGAGGGTCTTGAGCTTCTCGAGATGATGCTGGTGTATGACCCCGCTAGCCGCATCTCGGCCAAGGCCGCCTGCAACCACCCGTACTTTGAGACCTACCCCGACCAGCACTCTGGTCAGACCATCAGAAGCGGCGGCCGCATCAACGGACACTACGGCAACTAGGAATTCCCCGTGGTCCAGCGCGCGGTTCCGATGCAGCATCAGCGCTTCGGCCGCTTCTAATCATATCACTTTTTGGTCCTTGCATTATACCTTCATTACACAAGGGAGAGGGAAAGGGTTTTTTCTTCGGGGGCCGGCCTAGGGCAAACAGCAGACTCTATGATCAGTATCCTATCGGGTTTTCAGGATACTGCGAGAATATGCCTGTCTCCCTTTTGGTCATTGGAGGTTCACCTACACAAAAGCAGACTTTTACCATTCTATCCGCTGAAGGGGGCGGGACCATGGCCAACTATGCATTGGGCCATGTTGGTAAGAGTTAACTGGGGGAATCGTGGGTAACCGGTTCGGCACTTGGCAGTTTGACACGTCTGCGGATGTAAGGATGCGCACACAGTTACACATGATGGGTTGTCAGGGCATTCAGACGTTGCGACAGGAAGAGATGATGTGTACGTCTTGACACTTTGCGTTTGGCTCGGCGGCACATTGCACATCGTGGGACGTAACCATCAATCGGTTGTCCAGTCCATGTGCCACGAGACAACTGGGGGAGGCAGCCTTCCCCCAAGATAACGAGAGAAAGAACAAGCAGAACAAAAACACCATCCCACACGCACACACACACAAAGGAGGAAACTTGACTTCTCTAATTTCTTTTGTCGTAAATTTTAATGTACGGAGTAAGATGATGCATACGGCGGTCGGTTTCGGTAGGGCAGGTTAATGAAACAAAAAAGACACGTTTGGCATTCTGCCTTTTCCCGCTGAAAATCATGTCATAAACAAGAATCAAGGCCTGTCTCGCGTTCTGTGTCGGCTATCTGGGGAAGGGGACCGTCGACTCTTTGAACAAATCGATGCTTCTAGACTTTGCTCGATGAGCTTTTTTTTTTTTTTTTTTTTTTTTTTGGCGTACGAGCTCTCTCGATGATTCTGCGTCGTCTCTTTCCCGTCCTGTAGAGTTCGAACGGCGTCAGACCCTTACTGCATAAGCTCCAGATCTACAGCTCGAAGGTGTGTTGAGACGAAACCCTTCGTGCATGAGAGCCTAGACCCCGTCTGGTGTCAGCTACTGGATTATAGAGGGTGAGAGGAGATCAGCTCATCCGACAATGTAAACTTTTGGCCGGTTGTTTTTTCCAAGTCAACCTAGGGAGATGTAGACATATCCCGCTAGCTGGCTTATTGTATATCCGTACCATCCATTCCTCAGCTTCGATACCCATACGTGGAGCACGCTGGGGTCTAACGGCTTAACTTGTCTGGAAAGATGGATACCCGATTTCCCGCTCCTTTGTTATGTCGAATGATTTTGGGGGAGGTTCGGCGTATGCAGGGCGGTGGAGGAAGAGCGTTCGAGATCGTGTTCTGTGACACGGGGAAGAGAGTGTCTAGACTCTAGCGTGAGATGGAAGTAATTGGAATGTTGTGGCTGTAGAGGCGAAGGGGGGAGGGTGGTTCAGCTTGGGGGGGGGGGGGGGTTATTGGACACGGCGTTTGATGTTTTTCTTCCCTTTGAATCATGAATCACTGGGGATCACTGAGAAGATGTCTTTGCGGGTTAGCCTTGTCTCGTACGTTTGTCTGAGGTTTTGGGAAGCTGGCGTTGAATGCCAGCGCTTCTTCACCCTGGGACTTGTCTCGTTAGGAGGAAGCAGAGGAGGCGTAAATGATACCAATATCGACTGGTTTCAACAACACGTGGTCAACTGGGGACCTACCGCGAGAAGCTATATTTTGAGTCTCATGAGAATCGTGTTGCGATGTAGTAAGAAGCCACAATGTTATGGCTGAATAATATCCATCAAGTACATGATCACTCGAGTAGGGATATGGAGCAAGAGTCCCATTCTAATTCCGCACTTATTTCTGGTTTTCAGGTGCCTCCTCGCGGAAAACAATCCGCACAAAATCAAACATCCCTAAGTGAAGCCATCGTGGGCAAAATTCGACCACATCCGGCAGAACGAGAGAATTTTGGACGTTCTTCTGTTTCCAGCCCCCAAGATAGCTCTTCATCAGGAAATCATTCGACTTTCTACGGCACTTGAGGAGCTAAAAGCGTGTGTGCCTGGCCCGAAACACGTGGTAAAAAAAAAAGTCGTATCATTCTCTCCAAGTGAGAAGACAGCCCCCCCTTGTGATTCGGGAATCAATGAACCGAACAGGTCCCCGTGGGAATGGGCGAGAGAGAGGGGCTAGGGGGCGTGGGAACTACGTGATGGAAGCCCTATTCAGTTTCGTCTTTAGATACCTCTTTCTTTTCCCTTTAGGTTTCATAGTGTAGGTAGAGGATAAGAGAGTGATAGAGGTGTGTGCAAAGATGAAATCACCTCGGAGGACATCCCATATGCGGCGAAAGATTTGACAGAATATCGTGAGTGAGGCGCCAGCAAAACTGTTGAGCACGTGGGTAATGAAAATAATCGTCGGTGGACCAAGGGACAGCAAAAACGGTGGCTTGTGATGAATGTCCCACTTCGCCGACCTGAAATTACCCTACTCAATGCTGTTTGTAGAATGAAGAACAAAAAAAGAGGCAAAGAGTTGAGGTTAGGTAGCGTGGGTAGGCAGCCCAGCTATCGTGGTGTTCCTGACTCGGAGGACGTAGTGGCTATCCGCGTGCGCGGCAGTCGTCGGAGTGGTTGCCTTTCCCGGCGAATTCTTCAACCGGGCGTCCGCGGAGTTTTGCTCTCTCTTATTATTCATCTTTCGTCTCTGGGAGGTACGGGGGCGTGTTTTCGTCAACACACACAGAGAGAGAGAGAGAGAGAGAGAGAGAGAGAGAGAGAGAGAGAGAGAGAGAGAGAGAGAGAGAGAGAGAGAGAGAGAGAGAGAGAGAG